GGCCATTCCCACCCAGCATGCCCCCACAACCACCACAAGAAATGACTAGCATTAAAAGAAGCCTTAGTAAATCACCCCAACCCAGATTTTGTCAACTTTTTAGTAAAAGATTTTTCAGGTTTTCACCCAGGATTGTCACCCAGCCATCAGTCTCTTGTACCTGTAAAATCTCTAGTCAGCTCTCAAAGACCCAGATGCTGTTGACAACCTGCTCGCCAAAGAAGTCTGGGAGGGTTTCATAATAGGACACTTCCCTATAACGCCTTTCCCCCTTTTTTTTTTGTATCAGCCCACTGGGCATCACTGAGCATTCAGGGAAAAAGCACATCCTCATAGATTTGTCTGCAACTCAAGGTAGTCTTATTCGAACATAAATTGCCTCATTCCCCGATTTTTCTCTTAAATGCTCAACAGTGAACCATGCCATTTCCCTTGTTAAAATGCAGAGGTGCATGTCTTTCAAAAGCCGACATCACAAGTGCCTTCAAAGTTCTGCTGTTCTTCTGTTCTCATCAAAGGTCTCTAACATCAGGCTCCCATTTTAACCTTTTAGCCTTCTTCAGGTTCCTGTGCTATTCAGAATTGACCTCTTCTTCAAGGAGATTGTCATCCCTGCTTAAGCGACTTCCACCCAGTCTTTGAAGACTGGCTCATCTTCTCCTCAAACAGAGGAAAACCAACCAATTGGGCAGCCCCCTTTCGATATTTTAATTCAAAATAATCTTGCCTTTAAGCCACTTTGACTTGCTGACCCATTTCCTCTACCTTAGAAAATCCCATCACGCATTACCTTCAGACCCTCTCTTCATCACCGAATCCGGCCACATCCCAACATATCATGGTTTCTTTCACACTTTTGCCAAGTTCTCTCGTTGTCTGGAATTTCTCCTAATCTCTTCTCTGGCCACTCCTTTCACATCAACGTCATTCTTTGTTCCATCCATCCATTCTCTCCGCTTATCCTTGTCCCGGATCTGGAGCCTAACCCAGCTACCATAGGGTGAGAGGCAGGATACACTGTACAGGTCGCCAGTCTGTCGCAGGACTAACACATAGAGACAGACAACCATTCACATTCACACCCGCATAGAGAGAAACTACACCAGCATGGGGAGAACATGCAAAGCCCTCAGGCAGGTGGTGGAATCAAACTCGGGACCTTCTTGCTGTGAGGCAACAGTGCTAATCACTGTGCAACCGTGCTGCCCATTAATTCTGTGAGATGAGCCTGGAAGATGGTGGTCGTAAATTTAGATTAAAAGGACGCCTTTCATATAGTGTAACTTGTTTTGACCAGCCACTTGTCTCAGATGATATAACCCTTGCATGTATACACAAAATGCACTTTGAGATTTGATAATAGTGATGCTTAAAGTTGGTCGTGGGAAATAGTCCTTTAAAAAACAAAAACAAACCAAATCTCAAAAATGTGATGAAAAAATACTGAAATATTTTTATAACTTCGTCCAATCCATGACATGATTTGTTCTGCTGATCTATTTATCTAACTTTTCATCCAATGTTATAATTTTTGTGAATTTCTTTTTCATATTCACCCAGGTCAGTGACAGACCCCAGAGACGGAAAGCGAGTTGCTCTCAAAAAGATGCCTAATGTCTTCCAAAACCTTGTTTCTTGTAAGAGGGTATTTCGTGAGCTGAAGATGCTGTGCTTCTTCAAACATGAGAATGTAAGTACATGACAATGTCACAATGGAGCTTATAGTTTCCTCTAGAAAGGAAAAAGAAATGTGTTTGCCTGCATGATTGCATTCAGCCTGAAAACAGACCACAGCTTTACCTCTGTTCTCAGGTGCTCTCTGCGCTGGATATACTACAACCTCCACACATTGACTACTTTGAAGAAATGTATCCTTTACTATTGATTTATTCAAAGATTATAACAAGATGCAGGGCCTACAGGAATTACATTTTAAAATCAGGTGTATGAAATTGCAGAGAATTGCATAAGAAATTTTCTTTAGGTCACATTGGGGGTGGCTGTAGCTCAGGTAGGGCAGGTCACTTACTAACCGGAAGGTTGGTGGTTCGATCCCTGTCTGCCTGCCAAATTATTTTGGGCAAGATACTAACCCCAAATTGCTCTGTGATGCACCCATAAGAGTATGAATGCGTGTGAGTGTTAGAAAGCACTTGCAGAAAAAGAGCAAAGAAAAAAATGTAAATGGGTGAATGAGACAAGTTGTGAAAAGTTATAAAAAGCACTTTGATTGCTCATAGTAGAGAAGTGCTCTATAAGAACCAGTCCATTTACCATTAAATAAAACAAAGTATGACTGAGGGTGTATTGAGTGCTGGCCTGATAGATAGCATCATGGCTAAGCTGGAAACCTGGACCCTCCATGGCCGATTGCCAAGACTACGTGAGATAACCTCTGTAGGTCTAGTAGAAGGTGTGAATGTAGCACAATCCCTACTGCAACCATCACTGAATCAGCTGATCTACACCACAGCTGCAGTGATCACTGAGCTGCTTGGCTATAAAATGAACAGTTACAAGGAGCATTACTCTCTGTGGAGAAGGTGACTAGAAGCCAAGAATAAGGTAGCACAGGGCCTGTAAAGAAAGGGGTGCCTAAGAAGTACAGCAAGCTGTCTTGGAAACTGCCAAGTAGAGGTATACCAGAGAAACAGAAGGCAGGAGAATAAACCAGCTGTACTGTACTGAGCCATCCAAGTGGCAGTGTAACAATGCAAGAACAGGCCCACCAAGAGTGGAGACGGAGCAAGACTGGAAGAGCATATGGGAGAAGGATGCAACCCATAACAATAAGGCTCAGTTGATAGTGAATGTTAAAGCCGACCACAGCAATCTCCCTGAACAGGGTCTGGTAGTCATCACAGGAAAGGGTCTCCAGTATGTAGATATGAACAGCACCTGGTCCTGACATGATTCATACCTACTGGCTGAAGAAGCTGACTGCACTCCATGAGCATCTGACAGCACTAATGGACCAGCTGCTAGTAGATGAGATATGTGGATTGGCTAACTGAAGCCCAGTCAGTCCTGATCCCCACAGTTGGATATTTTACAAGAAAGCCTATGACTCAACGCCCGACAAATGAATCACGGAACTATATAAAATCAACAGGGCCATAAGAGCCTTCGTCAGGAATTCAATGGGGATGTGGCAAACACTAGAGGCCAACTTCAAGCCAGTGGCACAAGTCAACATTAAGTGCGGGATTTACAAAGGAGATGCTCTGTCCCTATTGCTGTTCTGCATAGGCTTGAAGCCTCTCAGTGAGATCACTGACAAGACTGGCTATGGATACCAACTACACAATCCACCAGTCACCAGGTACCTCCGCTGCATGGATGACATCAACCTTTATGCCAGGTATGGACAGACAAACTGGTGATGGTTAACTAACCAGATATAGTAGTGGTGGAAAAGCAGAAGAAGATGGCCATAGTGATAGATGTAGCTATACCGAATAATGGTAACATCAGGAACAGGGAACACGAGAAGCTCAAAGTACTAAAGGTTGAGGGAAGGACTTGAGAAGATGTGAAGGACTTGAGCAGATGTGAAGGAAACAGTGGTCCCAGTGGTAACTGGAGCACTCATTGCAGTGACCCCCACACTAGGCGGGAGGCTCCAGCAAATCACAGGAACAACATCCATGATCTCTGTCTACAATAGCGCAGTCCTAGGAACAGCAAGGAACTGTGGAGGACTCTGAAGCTCCCAGGCCTCTGGTAGAAGACCTGAGTTTGAAGGATAATGACCGTCCAGAGGGCGAGAGGGGAATCACAATCACAGTGGTCACTGAGATGCCAAGTAACGACTCTCAGCCTTCGAAAGCCGCTTGAAGAGGTATACCAGAGAGATAAAATCAGCTGTACTCCCCTAAACCATCCAAGGTGCATTCTCAGTGGCAGGGGGAAAGCCCGACCAAGTCTGGAAAAGCAGCAATACTGGAAGAGCATATGAGAGGAGGATGCAATCCATAACAGCAATGCTCAGTGGCTAGTGGAGCTAAGAGCAGACAGCAGCAGTGGAAGAGCATATTAACTCGAAGGGTGGTGGTTCGATTCCCATCTGCTCCAGTCTGCCTGCCAAATTATTTTGGGCAAGATACTAACCGCAAGTTGCTCTCATAGGAGTATGAAAGTGTTTGAGTGTTAGAAAGCACTTACAGAAAAAGAGCAAAGAAAAATCATGGCGAGTCGGACTGCACCGGGCCCTGACATGATTAGTGCCTACAGGCTAAAGAAGCTAACTGTACACCATAAGCTGTTAACAGCACAAATGAACCAGCTGCTAATAATGGCACACACCCAGAATGGCTAATTGAAGGTCTGACAGTCCTGAATCTGCGTACTAGCATCTTGTACCATGCTGTTATGTGCTGGAAAATCTCTTTGCTCTGCCTGCACCTAGTGTCTTGCCTGGTGTGGTAGAGCACCAACACTGTGGATCTTGTGCTCAGAGCTTATTCCTGTTCTGCCATTATTAGTGCCTCTGTGCTGTCTTTCAGTCCAGCTTTGTCAAGGCATTGATGTTACTTAATATCAGCCACTTTTTCTATTTTACAGTGGTACATGCTGTGCTTGCCCGTCCTTCTTTGATGGTCCCACTTCTTGCTCCTCTTCTTTTTCGGGTTTCTGTTGTCTCAGATACTGACTCACATGAGCAGTTTTGCCCATCTTCCTGACTCATGGATCTTTGTTGTTTCATCCTGGATAGTGGTTCTGACATTCACTAAACCTCAGCCTCCTTCCTTACGCTTAGCATATAGTCTCAGGGTGCTGGACTTGGGGTAAAATGCTCCATGCATGGTAAGGAGCTTTCTTTTGCCTTTGCCCTTGGCTTCTATCTCTTTCTTTGGCTAGCTTATTTTCCCAATTGGGGTATCTGATCAAAGGCAGGATCTTGTTCTTGCCATTCTGCTGACTCCTCAGGACTTCTTACTTTCTGCAGGTACTTGGTGGTTGCAGATTTTGTAGCGGCCTCTTCATGACTCCCATTTGCCTGTGGGATTAGGTACTTGTAGCTGTCCTTGATGTCTGCAATGTTGCCTCCTGGTAGTACAATCCCCTCAGTTTTGACTACTATCCCTTTCTTTGTTACATTTTGTTTCACTGACTACACTTCTCCAGTCCTAATGACACTGGAATTTCGTTGCTGCAGATCCTAGTGGTATGGATCAGTGAATCGATATCTTGTTCACTCCTGGCATGCAGCTTGAGGTCATCCATGTGGAGCAGGTGGCTCATGATTGCTCAATTTCTTAATCAGTATCCATAGCCAGTCTTGTCAAATATCGCACTGAGGGGTTTCAGGCGTATGTAGAACAGCAGTGGTGACAGATCATCTCTTGTGCTATTGTGTTGTTTGCCACTTCTTGATGAATGTTCTTAGGGTTTTGTTGATCTTATATATTTCTAGGCATTCTGGGATCCATGTGTAGGGTATTGAATCATAGGCTTTCTTGTAATGAGTCCAGGAGGTGCACAGATTGTTCAGTCTAGTCTTACAATCTTGAGTGACTGCTCCATCTACCAGTAGCTGTTGTTTTACCCCTCTGATGTTCCTGCCAGTTCCATTCTGTGCCCCACTCATGTATTGAACTATGTGCCTGTTCATCTTAGCCGCTATGATGCCTGACAGTTGCTTCCATGTTGTACCAAGGCAGGTTATTGGCTGATAGTTGTACTAGACCGGTGCCTTCTGGGGATGCTTGGGCATCAGGATTGTCCAGGCTTCAGTTAGCCATTCTGAGTGCATTTCGCCCATTTGCAGCTGCTTAATTTATGTTGCCAGATGCTCAGAGGCCCTTTCTATGACGTCTGCCACTGTTACTGGATGTTGTTCATTGGGGGGTGCTGTAGTCTACTCTTGGCTCCACCAGCCTCTGAGCATTGTTGATATGGGTTACGTCTTTCTCCCACATGCATTTTCAGAGTTACTGTCTCCAGCCTCAGTGGGGCTGTTCTCATATTGTTACCCTGCTACTGAGAATACACCTTGGATGGAGTGGAGTATACCAGCTGTACTCCATGGAGTGGAGTACAGCTGGTTTATTCTCCTGGCTTCTAGCTCTGGTAAGCCACTTCAAATGCACCTTGAAGAGATAGTATACCTTGCCAGCAGCAGGCCAAAGCCCGTGAGTCTTTGTTTGGCAGGTTCTAAGGCCTGAGTTATGGGCAGCTTGCAGTACTTCTTAAGCATCCCTTTCTTCATAATAATTTTCTGCATCTTATTTATATTTAAACCAGTGTCTGACCCTGTATGTGTGGGGCCATTTACATGTTCCCTAACGTTAAAAGACTCTGTAAAGGTGTGTTACAGGATACGTCATCATCAATCAACTTGTACGTTTGAAATTAGGAGGAGACACAATTCCTAGGAGGCTTGCACCAGGAAAGGTATCCAGCGTAAAAATCTACTAAATCAAAATACCTGTGGTAACCCCCTTTAATTATTATTATTTTTTTTTTGTGGTGATTCTGATTTCTGGAATTCATGGGAATTCTTTTTGCCCATCTGCCCAAGATGGAAATATGGTAAGGCCTTAAGGTTACGCAGAAAACAAAAGTGTGAATTAAGTTTAGTGAATTTTAACAAGTTTTGGTAACTGCAGGTATTTACACTCTGCAATGATCTGTTGTGTAATGCTTTTTCATTCCAAATACCCATACTTTATGTGAAAGAAGATGCCAGTTTACATTTTCATTTCTAGAATGCTGCTAGTGATTAACATTAGATAACTGGAAAGGTAAGAAAACAATGCAGTGATGCTGATGCCTAAACTCTATCTTAGAAAATAAAGCACATCTTTATTATAACTATACTGTCTTTCTCAGGTTCTCATTGAGATTTACTGTTTATGTTCTTGCACATATTTGTTTTTCTTTTAACCTTAATTCCTCTTGATCAGCTATGTAGTAACTGAACTGATGCAAAGTGACCTCCATAAGATCATTGTATCACCGCAGCCTCTGAGCTCAGACCATGCCAAAGTTTTTCTTTATCAGATTCTGCGAGGTAGGTCTTCTTTTCTTTCAGATATCTCTATGGTTACATTTATCCAAGTTCAGCCCATAGACTGGTCTCAAGCGTTGGTACTGATGAAGTTATACAGATTATACTCAAGGTTGAACAATAATACAGGACTCTTTAGAATTCTGCATCTCTTGACAACAACAGATTTGAAAACTAAATTAGTAATGAAATGTGACTAATTCAATGACCTTCAGTTTTAATTTAAGATTTTTATATGGGAAATCTTTATATTGTATTTTTAACGGAAGTCTAGTCATGAATGGAAACAGTTTGGCCTTGTTATTTCATGAAATATAGAGGTGCTCTCTATTTCACTTGGTGATAAATTTGTGAGTAGGATTTGTTGGTAGAGATTTTTGGAGTTTGAGGATTGGGTTTACACTAGGAAATTCCATAATAAAAGGAAAACCTTTACACCCTAAAGAGTTTAAGGCACTCAAATCACATAGGGGTGGGTTTACCTTTTTTTTTTTTTTTTTTTTTTTTTTTTTTTTTTAATAGCTTTTTTGGGTCTCATAGCTTAAGAATGAGTACTGGGGATATTCACATTAATATTTCACAGTTGAGGAAAAAAGTACATTTACCATCTGTTTAAAAACTGCAATAAAAGCTACAAACCTATTTCCAAAAAAGTTGAGATGTTGTGTAAAATGCAATGACTTACAAACCTTATAAATTTATATTTTATTCACAATGGAACACGGAAAATATCACATGCAAAACTGTAGAAAATGTACAATTTTAACAAAAAATATTAGCTCATTTTAAATTTGACAGTTGTGGTCAAATGTTTACATGCACTCATGAGGATGGAGAATTCTGATATTGATTTCTGTAAACATCTTTTGTGTTTTTTGCAGGGTGAAGTGAATATACACTATACATCTTTTTTGAATTTAAAAAAAGAAAAAAAACCTGGGTGCACAAGTTTGACTTTATTTTTGATTTTCTCTAATCCACATACAATATAGAGGAACAAGTTGGTATGCCTTGACTGTTAAAGTTAAGACATTTTAGAACCTTCAGTGGAACGTATTAAAATGTTTGAGTGTATGTATATATTTGAGCATGCACGTATATACTTCACAGTATCTTTCCTGTTCCGAGAACTGTGCTCTTCTGGACAGATGTCTCAGGTGTTGTTTCTGAGATCTGAAAAATATGACCTAGAGCCACTCATCCAACTTGGGTGTCACTACACCGAGTGCTCAGATTACCACAGGGACAGCTATTCACTTCACCTTCCACATCTTCTCAGCCCTTGGTACTTCTTGAGCTTCTCGTGTTCCTTTTTCCTGATGTTGCTATCACTCAGCGTAGCTATATCTATCACTATGGCTGTATTAATCTGCTTGTACACCGCTAGAGTGTCTGGTTACCCATCACCAGTTTGTCTCTCTGTACCTGGAAGTCCCTAAGGATCTTAGCTTATTCCTATGCTGCCATTATTAGTGCCTCTCTGCTGTCTTTCAGACCAGCTTTTTCATCCAGGAATCTGATCTGCCCGTGGTACATTAGCAGCCTAGTACTAGTGTACCTCCATGATGATTTTTTTCCTCTTCTTTCTCGGATTTCTATTGGCTCAGGTATTTCCTAAGCACATGAGCAGTTTTGCCCATCTTCCTGACTTTCGATCTTTTGATCTTTGTTGTTTCATCCTGGATAGTGGTTGTGACATTCACTAGGCCTCAGCCTAGTGAATGTCCACTTTCCACTTAGCATACAGTCTCAGGGTCCTGGACTTGGAGTAAAACGCTCCATGCATGGTAAGAAACTTTCTTTTGTCTTTTTCCTTGGCTTCTATCTCCTCCTTTGGTCAGCTTATTTTCCCAACAGGGTATCTGATCACAGGCAGGACATTGGTGTTAATTGCCCCGGATCTTGTTCTTCCCATTCTGCTGACTCCTCAGGACTTGCTTTACTTTCTGCAGGTATTTGGAGGTTGCAGATTTCCTAGTGGCCTCTTTATGGCTCCCATTTGCCTGTGGGATTAGGTACTTGTAGCTGTCCTTGATGTCTGCAATGTTGCCTCCTGGTAGTACAATTCTCTCTGTAACAAATAAGGGGATAGTAGTCAGAACTGACTACACTCTTCCCAGTCCTAACGGCATTAGAATTTCGTTGTTGTAGATCCTACTGGTATGAATCAGTGTATCTATAGGGGTGTCCAAATTCATAGGCTGCATCCTCCTGAGGACCCGGCCTTCGCGGTCGTCCTCCAAAGGCCGGCTAGGCCGGAAGTGAGCGACTGTGAAATTGGACGGTCTAGCCTTCAGTTTTGCATCACCAGCTGTCTCGGTGGAGTTTAATAAACTTGGCTGTCTGCTCCTTTCTGTCTATAATATAACAGGACACTGGCATAAATTCTCGATCATCTCACACTTCTGTTTAATCAGTTCTCTGTTTGGCGTTTATTTAGCTGTGTGAAAACTATAACTTTAATCTCAGCCAAACCAATTTACTCATGAACAAATAAAACACTGAAAAAGCCAAACAATAACACTGTTAAGTTATCTAAGTGACTTATATATCATGTTTAACCTGAGTAGCGAAAGGTGGGTTGTGCGGGGAGTTCGCTGTTATCGCCCCGGCTAGCTATCGAGCTGCTGGGTAACAGACGTCTCCGAAAATGTCAGAGCACTTTTGCAAATATGTGATGTCTTGATAAACCCAGCAGATATTTGAAGTTGCACAGCCACATTCTTGCCTGAAATATCATAAAAGTTTAATTTGTGACCCAGAAAGAGTAATATTAAAACTTAGTAGCAACTGCCATTGTTAGAAACTGGAATTTCTATGAATTCTGGGATATGGTGGGCCACAAAGGATACATCCGCGTTTGTCGGGTGCATTCGGAGGAGTCTACAAATTCTGACAGCCTTGGCGCGTCACTGTGAGGTAATCGGTCTACAAATGCGGCCTCAGGAGGATGCAGCAGATGAATTTGGACACCCCCTTTGTCTTGCTTACTCCTGGGATGCAGCTTGATGTCATTCATTTGGAGCAGTTGGCTGATGATTGCTCAGTTCCGAAGTCAGTGTCTGTAGCTTGTAGGTCTTGTAAATGATCTCACTAAGGGGTCTTTCCTATGTAGAACAGCAGTTGGGACAGATCTCTCCTTGGTAGCTCCTACACGTGATGTTGACATGTTCCGTGGGTTGACCTCTAGTGTTGTTTGCCACATCCCCATTGAATTCCTGATATTGTATAGTTCTAGGCATTCCAGGATCCATGTGTGGGGCATCGAGTCATAACGCCTTTCTGCAGCTCCAGTAGTTTTGCTAACTTCCCTCTGCACTACATTGATCTTCGCCCCTAGTCTCCTTCTCCATAGGGGATGGTGATCCTGTTGGCTGTTCATCTTATAGCCAAACAAAAAAGTGATCACTGTTGTCGTGATGTAGATCTGCTGATTCGTTTTGGTAATGGCCATTTTAGGGATTTTCTGTAATGCTGCATTCTTCTAGTAGACCTTCAGAGGGTATTTCATATAATCTTGGTAATTGGCCAAGGGTTAGGTTTTCCAGGTTCGCCATGATCCTATCTCTCAGGTCAGCTGCTCTCGCACTCAATGCACCTTCAGTCATTTTTTGGGGGCTTGGTATGTAATTTTGGGTCGGGGTGATGATGATAGGGAGGAGGCCCTGGGGTAGACCTAGGACACGCTGGAGAGGTTATATCTCTCGTGCTGGCCTGGGAACGCCTTGGTGTTCCCCCGCATAAGCTAGAGGAGGTGGCTGGGGAGAGGGAGGTCTGGGCTTCTCTGCTTAGGCTGCTGCCCCCGCGACCTGGCCCCGGATTAAGTGGAAGAAGATGGATGGATGGGTGATGATGATAGCAGTTGCATCTTCCGAATATGAGCAGTTTTTCTCTGGGAAGACAACACTAGATGCAGAACTGTGTCTAAGATTACATGCTTATGATCAGTAGGGCTGGGTAACGTCACTGATTTCTAGAATCGATTCAGATTCACAAGGTCCCGAATCGATTCGATCCACGATTCGGTTTGATTCGATTTTAATCTGGGAAATTTTGTCTCAGTCAGAAATATTATAATTTTGATCACATATCAGTACATTTCCATATTTTTATATCTATAAAAAGAAAGCTGACACTTGCAAGACTTTATCAAAAGTGTAAGCATCACAGCCGATGCCTTTGTGTCAAAGTAACTGAGGATAAAACACAGAAAAACATGAAGGCGACTTTTATAGCAGATAACCTTAAAAATGTTCTGCAGTAGATCAAAAATGAAAGAAAGTCATTAATCAAAATATGAACATTACCTGATGCTGCTGAAGTGAAGCAGAGCAAAGTTACAGAGGTTTTATTAGAGACGCAGCTAAGCGTTTTGCAATTTTGCATAATTTTAAAAAGTTTAAATTTGTTCAGTAGCCTATTGAACAGCAGAAATGAGGCTTTCTTTTCAGAAGTAAGTAAAAGGGAAAAGAAACAACAGTTGACTTGCGCGTAATAAGCAGGCGGATAATGCAGAAAAAAGATTTTTGGATGGGAACCTGTTCTTGAAGTACAGAGAGAAAGAGAGAGACCGCGAGCTCTGCATGAAGTGTGATTTTTATCGTGGTGGAAGCAAAACAGCAAACTAAGAGGGCATTCATGACGATGTTTATGTGATGCAAAATGTGAAGTGTAGTTTGGATCTTCTCTTGTTGCTGGTTCAGTCAATATTGTTTGGAGAGAGATTAAAAACCTGCAGCTTCTGAATCTAGTGCAAAAGGGGCGTAAACACAAAGTGCCGACCTGCTGACGGATCAGAATCAGTGAGCTGTTGGCTTTCAGCCCTTTGTGTTTACGTCTTTGTGCAGACTCTGTGTACCTGCTCTCATTTATTGTTTTAGATGTTTGGTGGTTGTTGAAATTTTGTGAGGTTTAACCTGAGATTCTGGTGTTTTGGGCAAAATAAATTTATATTTATCGATTGATCGATTCAGGATTTTAATGAATCTATTTCACGTTATGCA